TTTTTTAAGCATAAACCATCCTGCCATTCCACTTTGAAACTCTATCTTTTCTTCACGAATTTGTCTTCTGTTATTAGTAGTCTTCTATCCTGTTAAAAGTTGTAGGTTTACAGATGATCTGGAAATTTCACATTGGTATAAGAAAGAATGTCTGGTTGATGCAGTCTAGGAACAAAGAAAGAAACTTAATATTATTAAGCTGCATTTATAAATAACAAAATAAAATACATGTATGAAAGTAAAACAATAAAAACCCAACTGAAACATTACATCAAGTATATATTTTGTTAAAGATGACAAAGTAGCATATAGCAGAATGTATTCTAGACTTAAAAGCATCTATAGCAGACCATGTAGAAAATATTTACATCATATTTTCAAGTCTTAAAAATGCAAAGAAGATAATCATAGTGACTACTCACAGAATATCATTTAAAGTAGTAAAATTACTTTACCATTTCTTACAATTAATACTGACAAACTCTTAATGTAACTGCTTGCAAGGCATTTCACTGGTTTAAAAAAATGTGACATCTTCCGGGGAAGAGAGGAACCTTATTGGGACATTTAAAGTGGTACTTTAAGCAACTGTATTCATTGTACTCTTCAGTAAAAATAGGAAAATTATGTTAGCCTATATATAAATAAATAATGATTTAAGTAACAAAATCACAAATCAGCTTTTTTTTTAAAAAAAGATTTATTTATGCATATAAGATCAGGGGTATAGGCCAGAGGTGCGGGAGGGGGAGGATTCACCAGAGACAGAGTGGGGAGCAGAACAGGCAGACTGACTGAAAACGCTGCTGAGGGGAGCAGCAGGCAAGACAGGAGAGGTCTGCTGTGCCATGTGGGTAGCTCCCTGGCTGGCCAGGGATCGAATTTGTGCTGCAGAGGCTGCGGCTAGCTTCATAGTGCTGTGCTTAACCCCTTGCGCCACCAGGGAGGCCCACAAACCACACTTTCATAAAATGAATACTTTGTTATAGTAACCTTGAAACTTGAAACTTATAGTAACCTAGTAACCCTGAATGTATGTATACTGGCACATACATTCAGAAATTGTTTTAGTAAACATTTTATTCATGCATTTCAAATACTTGAAAAGTTCAAATCATTTCTAGATGTGAAACAGGCTATGGAGTAAAGGTATAAGGTCTTTTTATATAAAGATAATGAATACACAATAAATAAATTTGATTACTATACACACAGCCTCCAGAAACTCACTGGGTAACTAGTAAATCCACCTCTGCTCAATTCTTTATATTCCCATGTATTTAAGCTATAGCCTTCAGTGTTGATTCAAAGTGTCAACATTAAGAAAACAGTAAAAGAGTTCCTATTCTATTTTCTTCACATAACTTTTACTCCAACCCAGTTTGTTAAGATCGGTGCATGGCAAATTGCTTTTCAATCACAGAATTGATTTTTGTTTTTTCACCAGATGTTTATGTGGAATCAAATTGTTTTATGCATTATGTAAGTGCTTTCTCATATTTTGTTTTTCAAGCCTTCAAATTTTGTGCTGATGGCTACTTCATACATCCTGTGGTCACATTTTTTAAAGTTTTAAAAGTCCAATTTAAAGTTTCCATTTAGTCATGATATATTTAAATTAATTCATGAATGTAAAATTAAAAAATTTTAAAGTTCTCTTAAACTTACTAAATTTCAATAACCAAACTGGTTAACAGTATTCTATTCTAAATACATTAAATGCTAAATCTGAATAAACAACGTAAGTACACAGTAGACATTTAGTAAGTATTTGGTGAATGTGAATACACAGAGGGAATAAACAGTTAACTTGTTAATATTTCTTACCTCTATAGTAAGAAGAAGTATCTTGTTCTATGAGCAGCTGCCATACTTTCAGACATGTTTCTGACTTTTAGATAATTAACAAATCCTCTGAAGAAAAGGAGCAGACCTGAGAGGTTGAAATAATATATATGTATTATGTCCTTATACAGAAAGAGAGCATGATAAATTTTAAATAATTATACCAAGATTCTCTTAGCCTAAGGAATTTTAATATGTAGGATTCCATTCATTCCACAGTATACTTTACACTATAAAGAGAGCTCCAGTATAAGGAAATATAATAAAATTTTAGTGCCACCCCCAATTTTTTCAATTTGTTAACCCAGATGTATCTAAAGTATAAAAATAAAGTAAATCTAGCCACAAAAATCCAAAATATATACATTTAATGTATACATTTACAAATATATATGAAACAATTTAAATTACAGTTACCTAATACATTTAAATGAACTCAACTTGCAGAAATCTCGTTTTATAACAAAAATTTCAATTATTGTAACTACTAAGCAAAGATATATTTACTTACATAAAGTATTCTAGAGAAAATATATTCATGTAGTTTCTAACAATTATGGGATAAAATCAATAAGCCTGTATGGCAATATCAAATGCCCATCCTCTGTAAAATCTTCATTGGAAGAAATAATCATTATGTAAATAACTTTAAATACTAGTTCTTATTTTCAAGTTGTAGTAAAAGATTAATTTGTAATAAAAAAAAGATAAGAGGAATCAGGAAAGAATGTTTGAGAAGCAGCTGCTCACTAGCTGCTCTAGTGATTTCTTGAATGACCTGGGTTATATCTTACACTTATCTCAGTTTTCTCCATTGTAAAATAGCATTTTTAAATAACCATTTACATCACAGGTATTTTTCATAATTAATTAAACAATGCCTGTGAAATGCTTCAAAGTTTCAGATGAAAAAACTTAGCTAAGTATAAAAAACATTATTACTGGAGGTAAGCCTTTGATATATAGAAGCATACAATTCTAAGAAAAACATTTATTAACTCCAGTAAATTTTTAACCAGGTAATGGTGGGAGGCAAAAACATAAAAAGAAGGTATGTTTGTGTGAAACCTTCCTCACTATGTGGAAGAGCCTGTTCATTTAAAATACAAAGTCCCAAACTAAATTTATATCCCAACTCCAAGATGGTAATCAAAGCACTAAAAAAAGAAGCATGGTTATAATAAATTGGAGTAAAGATAATAAAGATATACAAATAACAACTTAAACAAGTGGTATAAATTTCAGTAAAATTTGATTCCATCTGCTTCCCATATCCTAACTCCCTCCATTTGTGGCTCACTCTGAATTCCACCCTCATGCCCTTCCAGATGCAGTTCAAAGATAATGTTATTATGATCCAAATATAAAAAGTATTATTGAAAAACATAAACCAAAATTATTTGTGAAATCCCTTCTTTTATCTATGAAACTGCTATTCTAAGATAGATTTCATTATGCTCAGACATTTATATTTCTAAAATAAGCCAACTCATATCTAGAAATCAATCACTCAGCAGTTATTGTCTCTTGGAGTTCTACAATGTGCTAAACATTCTTTCGAGTATATGTGAGAGCAATAATTTTTATCATGGATTAAATTTTCAGTCTCCCAAATAAATGCAACATTATGGCTCTGATATGAACTAGGGATGTCTTCTGCATTCTCTCTGCCTCCTAGTTGTCTTTCTATAATATATTCATTTAAATGTACTCATTTAACATGCTTGAATACTTAGTAGGCTTTATTTCTTTGCATTTCCTACTTTTATGTAAGAAGCTCAATAAGGAACACAGAATTCATGCAGTCAGAACAAAATCAACAATGTAAACTGGCAAATGTTTGTATGAGTCTGAGTCGCCAATAAAGTTACAACACTACAATAATTTCACTATAACTATTAAAGAAAGAATACAGGATTTAGGAACTTAAATAACCACTAAGAATTTGTATCCCAAACGATCCCAAAGAACCGATAGCATAACTAAATAAAAACTTAAAGAGAACACTGCCATCTACTGAAATGCTATTACTTTCTGGTATAATTATTTTACTAGAGAAATGCAGGCTATTAAACCTAAGTAGAAACAAAATGCATTCTTCTTACCAGTAAATAAATTTGAAATATGGACTAAAGGTATAATGTGATAATTAACATAATTATCAAACATCTGAAGTGAAAACCACAGGTAAATAAAATAGGAAATTCAGAGAATTCATCAATATTAATAAGGAGACATACCTAGTTAAGAAGACACACAGCAGAAGTTCTGTGATCACTAGCCATGAAGCCTTTCCTATGCCTGGCTAATTAATGATTAATGCAAGGCACATTTCAAACTGTGAAGAATGTTTCCATGATCCAAAAATAAGAGAATGGATAGAACTAATCTACTGTCAAATTCATTAAAAGAAATGATGTGTGTGTATTTTCAAAGATAAATGCTGAAAACATTTTGTAATCATGTTAGAAATTTCAAATTTTGTAGTATTCAACTATTCAATAATAATTCTGTAGTATTCAATAACCATCATTTTTTTTAAACTGGCAGGCTCTGGATTTTAAATCAAGAAAATCTAGAGAGTTACAGAGAATTATTTAAATATCTGAGTTAAGTATTTAGACATGAAAATTTACCACAGAAAAATTATTTTATATAATTTACAATAATTTATTTACACCTTACAATTTCATTAAATTAAAAAGTTAAACTAAATGCAAAGTAAACAAACTGAAATGTATTAAGAGTAAACTTACCAAGTACAAGAAATATCCACCAAAGCCAATATTGTCCATTGAAATAGCCAGTAAAATAATCCGAAAACTGTGGAGTGAACATAAAATACATTAACCGTGCTTGCATCGCTGAAATGAAAATTGTGGATAGCCTGCCTCATGATATACCTCAAATAATATTAAGCACTTAAAAACATTACCTATATCTGAGGGAAAAAATGCATACAATAGCAAATTCATACAAAATATTTATCATAAACAAAACAAGTTCAAACTGCTTATAAGAAAGATAAATGCTATATATCTGAATCCAACATTTTCTCATTAAAGAATTCACATGTCAATTCTTTTTTCATAATCTCTCAAAGCCACAACTACCATTCCAACACACTACAGCAACCTGCTGCTTTAGATATTAACACCAAAAGCCACATTAGTTTAATCTTATCAGATGGGGATGTTCTACTGACCTCTAAAAAGAAGAGCTTTTGACCTTCTGTACACCCCCTACTGTTAATCACTGCCAAGAGTACTAGGCACATAAAGACCCCCAACTCATTAGTCTTTTTATTTTCAAACTAGATGCTCCAGCATTCAGTTCCAACCGTGAGCTGAAAACAGCTAAATGAACCTTGAAGTGTCATTTCAACAGTTCCTATTAGTGGCCACAGTAGACAGTTTTATATTCTCTGTGAAATGAGAATATGAACAAGCAGATGGAAGGCAGGGTTAGAGGACACTGGACACTGGTATCTTTTCCTTGGTTAGACTCTAGACATCAATGATTCACTATTTAAAAAGTTTAAAGAATCAGTCTTGGCTACAGAGTTATTTCAGATAATTCTATCCTCTTACCCTCTAGCATCTAAACAATATTGTAAATAATGAAATTACTCGAAAAAATACAAAAAAATCAACTTGCTTTATCTATTGTTTCTACTGGTCTCCCAATTTAATTTGATTCAACTAAAAATGACTTTTTGGTAAGTGAAAATTTGCCTTCAAATTTGAAATTATTTAAAATTATCTATCTCCAACTTCCTATGTAATTATTTCCAACTATTACTGGCAAATTTCCATAAAAGTTTAAAAATCCTACAGCTTTGAAAATAACAGAAATGCTTAGAAGTTGTAAATCATGTCACTGCTGTGGACACACATAACTAAAGATTATCTAAATCTGTAAAACCTTTTAAGTATTTTCACAGGAAGTATTTACAATTAATAAATGAACCATGATGCAAATTCTCAGCTTAGCATTTTGAAAATTTCAAAGCATCATTAAACATGGAAATCCAGGGGACTCCTGGCACCTTTAAAATATATACAAGCTGGGCTTCCCCGGTGGCGCAGTGGTTGAGCGCTGGGTTGTGAGGCTGCCCGCAGCCTCTGCAGCACCAGTTCGATCCCCGGCTGCTCCCGGCCACCGGAGGAGGGCCCCACATGGCGCCCAGACCTCTCCTGCCGCCCACTGCTCCCCTCAGCAGTGTACTTCGGTCCTTCTGCCTGCTCTGCTCCCGGCTCTGGCTCTGGTGAATTCTCTCACCCTCCCGCGCTTCTGACTGTACCAGTGCTTGTATGTATAAATAAAATAATAAATAATAATAAATAAATAAATAAATAAATAAATAAATCTTTAAAAAATAAATAAAATAAATATATACAGGGGGAAAACTAAAAAATTGGGAAAAATATAGCTTGTAAAGTAGGAATTACCTTCACCTTGAAGTCAAAGAGAAAGACTCACTATGTGAAAAGAATAACCTAGTAAGATTTTTAGGTTCATGACTGAGTTATCAAAAATGTTTAAAAATACTAAGCACCATAAGGTAGAGCCACGTGGATATGCTTTTTTAAATAAGTAAATCAATCAAGTTGATGAGCCAATCAGAAGCTGCAGAAAACTAATTTTGGGGGAGGAGGATCAACAATGAGAATTTATCTGATTTTATTTTATTAACTTAACATCCTACTTTGAAAAAAACTTGCTAGTTTTTAATAAACATATATAAATTTTTAAAGAAACAATAAAAATATCAAAAAGTCTTAGATAGAACTAGTATCAGAATCTAGTAAATCTAGTAAAATCTAGTAAAAGGAAAGCAGCAGTATAATTTATAAATTACTTAGAGTTAATAAAAGGAAACACCCAGCTTTTGGGAGAGAACCTTTCTCTCAGCACTAAATTGCAAGGAGAATTTACTGCTTGGAGCATCATAATAAAAGTCAAAGTAGTGTCACAGAGGCAGAACAGAATTAAGGCAACAGGCACTGATTCTAATCCTTATACAAACTATCAAATATTGAAGTTATCAGGCCCTTTTTATTCTTAGTTTCATCAACAATAAAATTACTAGACTGTCACTAGCATTACTGATTCAGATAGGGTTAAACAATTTCATATTTGCAATGAACTATGCCTGGAACATATTTAGTGCACAATAAATGGCAGCTGTTGTTATTTTATACAAAAGATTCTTTTTAAATTATTTTCTTATGTCAATTCTCAGTATACACCAAAGGTACAAACATAACTTTAATTCAGTCAAGGTATTTTAAAGATAAACTAAACAGTTTTAATGATCAAACTTGATATATAGTACATATCTTGCAAAACATTGAAAAATTCCAGTGCTGAGTTTATCATAGCCCAGCTTATCATATTACATGCAGTTAATTACTAGATAATTTATCCCCCTCTTAAACTAGGGATTTATGAAAAAATGAGGCTCTAGAATGATACAATTTACCAAATTTAGGAGAACTGAAAAATACAACTCAAAAAAAAAAAGAAAAAACAAAAAAACAACTCAAATTATTTTGTGTTCCATAGTTTAAATGAGAAGTTCCATTTGAATTAATTCTATTACTAACAACCAAAGTTGGACATATCTAGGTCCAACTCTTGAACGTTTTCTAGTAATAACTTTTACAACAGTAGTATGCTTTAAACATCTCATAGATTTACACTCATGGTGGGACCCAATATTACATTTTTTGAAATAAATTAGAACAAGAATCTGCCAGGGAGCAAGTTTTACAATGACTCAGGATTTAATCATCTTAGAAGTCAGTCTACAGGCCCCAACCAAGAATCTATGATTAATAACTAAACTTGTAATCTGATCTGATGGGATTATTGAAAACCTGGGAAGCTACAATAGAAATTTTAAAATAATGGACACATTAAGCCCATAGTTTTTATATGGATAATTTTACATGGGTAATTTTTAAATCAAATTGATAATTCAGGTGCATAAGTGAAATCTAAAGCATTTAATTCTTTTTTTTAATTTATTTTTTATTTATACAATAGCTGGGGTACAGGCCAGAAGCACAGGAGGGTAAGAAGATTCACCAGAGACAGAGTGGGGAGCAGAACAGGCAGACGAACTGAAAACACTGCTGAGGGAAGCAGCTGGCGTGACAGGAGAGGTCTGCCACGCCATGTGGGAATCTCCCTGGCTGGCCGGGAATCGAACCCGTGCTGTAGAGGCTACGGACAGCTTCACAGTGCTGTTCTCAACCCATTGCGCCACCGGGGAGGCCCAAACCTAAAGCATATAGCAGAAGCTGACACATTAGTTCTGATTCAACTGAAAATTTTGAGGATCTAATGTATTCAACTAGAAATCAATGTTTAACAAACTATGATTTGTAGAAATAATGTTCTAACAAATACAATGTTATTAACTGTATAATAGCATTTATATGTGGGAGTAGCTTTTAGACGTATCAAAACAATAAACACCCACACTCAATCATTCTCCTAGCCTTATTCTGAAAAAAGTTTTATAAAAAAGGAACCAACAGGAGTCTTTATGAGGCAAAAATAAAGAGCTGATGGAAGATCATACAAACAATACTACTGCCTATGTGACCTTTACAGAAAACTATTTTGGGACTAGAAGTTGATGAGCTGGGAGAAACAAAAAGACATATTACTTCCCTATTCACCATCATATAAATAAGATGTATACAGATAAAGAATGATTTCCTAGAATAGGAAATGAGGAAAAAACAGAAGTAACATAAAGGGAAAAAAGAAAGTTCTAATAGTCACCTCAAAGATTTATGCTTTACTTTTGAACTCTCAATGCTACTAAAAAAATAAAGAGTAAGAAGATAATTAAGTCAACTAACCAGTAGAAGATTTTTACATTTCAAATGATTTTAGGAATGTCTGCATCGCACAATAATATAACCATGATTTACAGAATACATATGAATGTTATAAACTAGGCAAAGTACTTTTATTATTTCCATAACTCACAAAAATTCTTTTTTAAAAAAACCTATTACAAGCTTATTATAAAGAAACCAAAGCTCAAAACAATTCTAAAATTTTAAGTTAAAACATATACAAAAGAGGAGAGTCAAATTCAAGTTTTTCTAATTGCAAGTCTTCCCATGTATTAACAAGCTGTCATATAATAAATTATTAGTATGTTCACACCAAAGAAGTCATTGTAATAATTAAATAAGGAAGTTAAGAACAAGCCTCAAGAGAATTGAAATCACATGCCAAAAAAAATGAACATTCGTAAACCACATAGGAAATTTTAATTTAGAGATAAAAATAAAAGTGGCTATTACGATACTCACCCTGACAATAAGGATCCATTTGATCAATGAAAGACCAAACCCACAGATAGCACCATACCTTCCGGCTATGGTATTGGTGATACAGAAGGATAAACAAAATCCAAGCCAGTTGAAAATAAATGCCACTAAAAGAGAAACAGTTTGTTTAAATGTCACACCTTGGAAACAAATTGAGACAACAGAAATAGCAGTCTCAATACAAACAGCAATCTCTCAATACAACTCAGCCTTTTTTATATACTATAACTTTTGCAAATATATTCATTATTTGTCTACACATTAACAATTGGATAAGCTTGGTCTCTTGTCACTTTGGTCAACTAAAATAATTTCATAAAAACTTATCCTAATGGGTAAAACTACATTTTCAACCCAGCTTATGAAGTAGTCCCCATGTGATCTCACCCAAGAGGTCTAGAGTAAGCAATCAACCAACCAAACCAGGTTTTTAAAAATGCACACAAAGATGAATGAAGTAACTTATAAATCTGGTTTTCAGAATAAACATCATCTCTTCTTCATACCTAACAAAAGTTGCTCTATATACTCCCTTGAAGGCCACCCCTCTCTACAGTCTCTGTTTCAGGGAAGGGTCCACCCTACTCTTAGTCCCCAAAATGTAAGCCCTGAGTAGTCTGGGCAGGAAAGGGGTGTTGGACAGGGGGGAATTTTAGGAGGCTTAAACTCTGTCAATCATTATTTGGTTCTTAAAAACACAGCAAGAGGGCCTCCCCGGTGGCACAGCGGTTGAGTGCTGGGTTGCGAAGCTGACTGCAGCCTCTGCAGCGCCGGTTCTATCCCCGGCTGCTCCCCGGCTACCAGAGGAGGGTCCCACATGGCGCGCAGACCTCTCCTGCCGCCCGCTGCTCCCCTCAGCAGTGTACTTCGGTCCTTCTGCCTGCTCTGCTCCCCGCTCTGACTCTGGTGAATCCTCTCACCCTCCCGCACTTCTGACTGTACCCAGTGTTTGTATAAACAAATAAATAAATAAATAAAAATAAATCTAAAAACAAACAAAAAAAAACACAGCAAGAGTAGAATGTAATATATAGGTTAAATAACAGAGACTCTAAATCACTGTGGAAACTGGGTGATGGAAGTTTATCAATCTATTGCCCATTTTATATATATTTGAAAATTTCTCTAATAAAAGTTTGTTTAAAAAAAAAAAGAAATGGTCCGTCCTCTACCATTTAATGACATGTTTGGACACAGTATCTAGAATTCCCTCTGGGATCATGCTATCAACCTGAGGATTAAATATCAATCCAAAGTGTGGGGGAGTGAAGAAAAGCAAAGAACATCAGAGTCACAGCGCTGGTGCTTTCTGTCCCTGAGATCTGCTTATCCATGGACTTTCTGTTTTGTGAGATAATTTCCCATTTGAAAAACAGCTGAGGAAGGGTTTTCGATTACTTGAGCCAAAATCACTTTGACACAGGTCCTTGAGATGGAATGAGTGTCCTATTTGTGTCCAAGACATCAAAATAACAATAGTCATGACATCAAAACTTGTAAAGATCAATTTGAGCCTAAATTTGGCCCATCCTCTTACCATGTGCATCTTCAACCAACCCTCAGAGAAAACAAAGCAAATTATCTAAAGAAATTCTGATTCCTCAGAATTCAAGAAAAAAAGCTAATACTCTAGGGTAAGTTTAACTGAAATAGCTATTTCTTTGCAGTAATTCTCCCACTCAAGTAATTTCTTCCTTTCTAATGCCCTCCACTCTCATCTTTTCTGATCATTCATGGAAAGCGGGATACAGAGCAACAGTCAGAAGATTGAGTTTTGAAATGAAAAATATGTGTATGAGTCACAGTGTGCCCCACTCCCTAGACGTGGCCTCGGACTCACTCTGATTTCTGTGAACCACAGTTCTCTGATCAGTAAGTACAAGGGTAACAAAAGATTAAGCGAGATCATGAATGTAAAAAGCTTAGCATAGTGCAAAACCGAGCACAAGGTGATTGCTAAAGAAATATCAGCTATCACTACTACTAATGAGCTCTCACTTTACAAGTAAGTCCGACCTTTTCTGTGAAAAAAATTTCAGGAGACGCTCCTGGAAATAAAGCTTGTTTACTCTCCACTTTCTTTAATTTTTAGGCCTAAATACTGTTCAATATTTTAATATCCTCTATGTCTGTGCTACCCAATGCCACTAATAACACTACTTCTTCCTCCTGTCCCAGGAACTCATTCTTCTCTACAAAGGAGGTTATTCACATTTAAGCTCCTTGCAATTATATAAAATTAAAGAGTGATTTCCTCAGTCACATGCACCATATTTCAAGTGCTCAACAGTCACATGTGATTTGTAGCTACCACACTGGACAAAAAAATATAGAACATTCTATTACCAGAAACAGCTGCTCTCTGCCTAATTGACTATTTGTGTTAGTCGTGGGGGAAAATATTACACTTTACCAACCAAAATATAATTCTGTGTCTATTTAAAATAAAGAATTTACAGCAACAAATAGTACTAGAAATTCCCAACTGGTGTGCCACAACTGTGTAATGACAGACTGTAATGTTATTTCTCTCCTCAGCCTTTAAGGCAGGAAGGAGAAGCCTGGGGCAGAGAGCAGACTACCACCAGCCATGAGCACCTTTACTCTAGTATGCTGTAAACATTTCATTATTTTGTAAGCATGTCATGTTTTTAAAACATAGAAAGCATTGATGGAGAAAATTCAAAACAGCAAAATATTCCAAAAATATATCTCTACCTTTGAGCATGTATGTATTTTTTTTTTGGAGGGAAAAAAAAATTCAAGTACTGTCCAGTTTCTTCAAAATCAGACTTACTGCTATGTATTACAGACCTCATTGCATGCATTACAGGAATAAGACACAAAAGAGAATAAAAGTCTTTTCTGAGCCATCATATTTTATTTTTGATCCCTGCCACCAATATGGTTATCTATATAACCTGTATTCATGTAATACATAGTATGTTATGAACTAAACTCTGCCCTCAATTTACAGATTAAAATCCAAACATTCCAGTATTTAAGAGATAAGGCCTTTAGGGAGGTAATTATGATTACATGAGGTTACATGGGTAGAGTCCTAATCCTAGAAAATTGGTGTCTTATAAGAAAGAGTGGAGGAGTCAAGTCTCTCTCTATACACATGGAAAAACCATGTGAAGACACAGCAAAATGACAGCCATTTGCAAGGACCGCTCACCAGAAACCAAATTTTCCAGCACCCTGATTTTGGATTTCTAATCTACAAAATTTTGAGAAAATTAATTTCCAAGTAAAATGCATCTATAAGCATTCCCTCTTTCTCAAGTTTTTGGAAGACTTTGAGAAGTACAGATATTAGTTTGTCTTTGAAGATTTGGTAGAACCCACTAGAGTAAAAATATCTGGCCCTAGGCTTTTTGGTTTTGGGAGACTGAATTTCTGCTTCAATTTCCTTGCTTTTAATTTTCTATTTCATTTATTTCTGCTCTAATTTTTATTATTTCGTTCCTTCTGTTGACTTCTAGTTTTGTTTGTTCTTCTAGTTCCTATTCCCCATACAGCAAGGCCCAAGATGGAACCCAAAGAATCAACACACTTATAGACTATATTCCTTAGGAGAGTAAGTTTTTAGGGAGCAGGGAGCAAAGAAGCGGGACAATTAACTCAGAAAAGTTAGTACTAAGTGTTGCTCTTATTATGCTTCTCTAAATCACCTTCAGAGTGCCCAGCTTTGTAAGAAAGCTAATCAGACCGGTTCAGACAGGTTAATGACATGAAAGAAGGCTGCCTATCACTTAAAATCATATTACTTGCAACTAAAAGTAACTGAATTTCCAGTTAAAGATAGGGAAGGAACACTCTATAATTAATGATATTTTATATATTTTAACTCATTTGATTCTCACACACTAGTCTTTTAAGAAGGGCAAGGTCAAAATTAATACCATTTTACAGAAGAGCAAAATGAGACTTAGACCAGTGAAGCTCCACATGAAGTTACAAGACAAGCAAGTAAAAAACTAGGATTGGGGCATCTAAGTCTTTCACCTCTCCCGCCCAGTGATACACTTGTATATATTATCCAAAGATAACCTAAAAAAACAATACTATACACTACAGTTTATTCATTAAATTTAAATACTTTTAAATTTTCAGCAGTCACAAGATACTTATTAAGTAGAAAGGGAAAAACAGCAACTTATAGTAAAGAAAACTTAATTTCTAGGTTTTAACTGACAAATACTGACTTCTATTCTCTTAAAGAAAAAATCTTTTAAAAAGATGAGAGACAAAAAAGGCTAAGCATACATGAGGCATTTTGTGACGATACGTTAAGGGACTACAAGAAACAAAAACATTATCAATGATTACATACATTTCTTTATATTTTCTGAACAAGAACATGAAATTATCTTACCAAATTTATATGTAATTTTTTTTAGTGAAGACTAAAATGTAAACTTTGAAAACAGAGAAGGCAAGAATTATAACAAAAGGTTTAATTAAAATATTCTTATTGATATTCTAGGTTTTTTTTTGTTTGTTCGTTTGTTTTTTGTGGGACCTTTGCCGGTGGCCAGGGATCCAACTGGCGCTGCGAGGATATAGTCTAGTTTTATTTGTACAATGTATATAACCTGAAGTGCGTAAGTTATAAAACACATTAAAGAAAATCTATTTCTGCATTTTAGAAATAGACAATAGAATCTAGATAAAAGTTGCTAGATTAAGCATGGAAAATGGAGCAAGTTGCAATTTTCAGAATGGCCACTAGATGGTAGTAATTACAAATCTATGTTTACCCAACAAAAAAGGTCAAGCACTCACCAGAAAAAACAATCTACCAGAAAAAAAGAAATCAATAAATGAAGGTAAAAAACAATCTACAATTGTTAAAAGGTAAAAAACAATTTTACCCTTATAATATTGGTACAATATTTCTGGAATAGGAAGCATTAAAATACAAGTTATAGAAATGTAAAACATAATTTACATTATATATACTGAAATGTAAACATTTATATTCATATACCAACATGGCAAAAAATAAAGACAACCAAGTGTTTAGGTTATCATGCATTTATAGCACTGCTATATTAGTGAAATGTTTTCAAATCTAAATAATAAAAATTAAAAAGACGATAGTAGGGTTAAGTGAAATATAACAGCAAATAAGTCAATAATTAGGTGGTGTCAAATATTTTTACTTATAACAGGTACTTATATTACAAACACCACAATAAACTTCAGTTATCTTTCAACTATGATCTCTCAAAAGACAAAAACCATGAAAATAAGTAATGTTTACAATAGTTTTATAAACAATGTGGGAAATTTGTTATCTATATAAAGGGTTATCAGTTGAACTATAAAAGGATGTAAAAACCAAAGCGCTTTTCCAATCTTTCCTCTTCAGTTTAAAGACACTCATGTTAAGTCCTCTGTCCCCAAAGCAGCATTTATAGATTTATTTGACATGTACCTACAGCACTGAATAGACCTGCAGCATTCTCATACATAAATTCAGCTAAAATAGACTTTTATATCTCTGCACAGTCAGACCGTATAATGACTGCAATAGGTAGTTATCAGGTAAGTGTTTAAATAAATTTCAGGATTTGTAATGTAACATGATCACACAGTTCAAAATTAGGAACAATTTACATTTTGAACTAGATACAAGCTAACAGTATCTACTTTCTCCATCATATTACATTAAACATACACATAAACATTAAGTGCAAAAAAAAAAAAAAGAAAAGAAAAATAGCTTACAGTAAAATTAAGACTTACTGAAAAATGCCAGCATGAAAATCCCATCATTACCCACTCTGAGCTGGTCTGCATCACTGAAGTCATCTCTTGGTGGACATTCTTCCTCCTGAATCTATAAATTAACATTATATATAACTAGATATAATTTGCTAAAATAATTAAAACTCTATTATCCTAAATGCAAAGATAAGATGTAAATAAAATCTAGTATCTTCAGTTTGTGGTATAGACAAAATGAGATAATTAACTACAATGTGTAGTGCACAGTAAATACTCAAAAACCAGTACTAATTAACCTAAACAGAGAAAAAGTTGAATAAATAACACCACACTAATGAAAATGCTATCAATAAAGATAAATGTGACACTGAAGTATTAATGTGAAAAAGGAACTTCCATACTCAGTGTTGGAATATAAATTAGTACAATCTCTATGGTTAGCAAAGTAGCAATAATTGGCAAAGATAAAAATGTTGACACCCTTTAGCCCAGCAGTTTCAGCTTTCAAAATATATTGTAAAGATATGCAGATATTTTTCCCACTTATAAAAATGATGTATTACAGATAATTGATTATAGCAATGTTAATACGAACAAAATATTAGATGCACTTTAAATACCCATTAATAGTGGAATACTGTGAGGAAATAATTCTTCACAAGTCACCGCATAACTTCCGAGGAAGGGGCACTGACTGATTTATTGTACTATCTTTTTAAGAATATTTATATCATAGTTTTTAAAAGAAAGAAATAATGCATCACCAGAGCAGAAGTATGGACATGCTTATTCACCATTAGAAAATTCTGGGATCCTGAAACTCAGGATTCCAAACTGCACATGAAGGCATAGTTGGACCTCCTGGGTTGCCCTTTGGGGGCAGAGGTTTGGGAAATGATATGAGAAAATGCTTATGCTTTAGGCTACTACCATTGCTGTGAATAGTAAAAATTTTGTCTCGGATTCAGCTGTCTCTTATCATTTGCCATCATCCAAGAAACTGTGACAAATTTATCAGTTAGTTTACAAGTAGGATAAATCTCAGACATTCACAATTCTTGACATACCAAATGAAATGTAAATTACTATATATCTAACTAATGAAATTCGAAAAGCAATGTAAAAATTTTCAAATATAAAAGAACAAGTTTTGACCATTCTCATGACAATCTCCAAAATACATTAAGTAAAAATCATGTGTACAATACTTTTCATGTATTGAATTTTATACTAACAAATTAATCTATCTGCATATAAATACAGAGAAATTCTCTCAAAGTACATACAAAACGCCAATGTTCAACAAATATTGATAAAATACCCATATTATACAAAACTTTCATTTCCTGGTACTTGGGATAAATGAGAGCACATAAAACCAAGATGCTTGCTTCTCTGGAACCTATGTTCCAGAAAAGGGAGCCTGAGAGTCATCAAAGACATAATAAATAATTTACCTATTTAATCATTAAAAGATAAATGATGCTCTACAAAGAAAAATGTAAGGAATAGGATGTTGAGAAATGCTATGAAATTAATGGTTACAGTTTTCAATATGGTGGCCAAATAGGCCTCATTGAGTTAACACTTGAACAAAGACTTAAAGGAGAGGTAGGAAGAGTCAGCTATGCATGTATCTTAGAGAAGTGTTACAGGCAGAAGAATGTCAGCACCATGGTCCTAAAGTTGAATAATATGTGGAATATTAGAGAAAGAGCAATGAGGGTGTCACAGTTAACTAGAGTGAACAAGAGAGAAAATAGGAAGAAATGACATCAAAGATTCACCTGAAGGACTCTGGATTTTAATGGCAAACTGGTAGATCTTTCAAGGTGGTAATCAGGTTAAGTAATAGACCTGATTCACATATATATAATCTCAGTTGGGTACTGATGTCTCAATTTTGTGTTAGTATACACAGAGGCGCAGAGAGGCTAGGCTGATATCAGAAGGCCAGCCAACTCAAGGAGAAGGAAAGTAATTTAATTTGTCAACAAACTGAGGAGGGCAGCAAACTAGTGTCTGAAAGACCACTGTCCTGCTATTTGGCAGAGGGAAGGGGTATTCATCTAGAGTTACAAGAGAGCTGGAAGGGTGCGGGGATGGTAAAGGATCAGCATGTCCATCCTTGCAACACAAGCATCTGGTGACTGACGCCAGCATGCCTTCACCATCACATGGTGGTCAGCCAGTCTGCTGTTATCTTTTTAGTGAAGCTCCTTCCCCTTGGAATATAAAAGAGCAGGGTTGATCAAGCCTAGAGGGAAAATAAAGGAAATGGGAGACCTTATCTGGTAGGACAGAGAAAGACATATATTTTATTGCTGCATCAAAGCATCCTGCCCGAGATCACATAATTAGCAAGGTCAAAGCAGGCTTTGGTTCTAGGACACTGATGCTCTTTCAATACCATCCTATAGTTTCACTATGCACTTGCTTCCCACAAAGAAAAAAGATCTTCAAATCCTTATTTTTAATTATTTGGGCAAAATGGTTCCTCAAATTCTGCAGTCAAATATCCTAGGCAACCTTCTTATGGTAAATTTAATGACTGGCAATGATCAAATGCATATTAATAAAACTGTATATACTTCAAATTAACTCAAGAAATAAACATTAAAGCACAGTATAAGCCCAAACATACAAAATCCAATCTCAGTATGTTAGCCAGTGTAGGGTAAGGTAAAAAAAAGTATCAGGCTTTTCTGCCCTCCCGCTATTAGGAGAGATGACGGAACACTGCGGTCCCGAATGCATGCCTGATGGTGGGCACCTGGAGTAGGGTGTGGGCATATGTAGATGGGATTCACCTGGGCTAAGACTGGGCTTTTAAGGGTGGCGTCACGGGGACGCCAGTAGAAACAGAGAAGCAGAAGAACCACGAGAACAAGGCCACCAGAGAACACCAGAGAACCCAGATAGAGTGAGGACTTGTTGGAGGCCTGCCAGCCTCCCAGCACCCCTGCCTGCCATGTACCTGGTAAATCCCAATAAAAGCCTGCAAATGCCACTGAGGGCTCCAGGACTCTTTCCTACTTTACCCCGTCTGGGATCATAGAAAAGGTGCTCCGTGGCCTGTCCTGACCTTACAGCCAGAATATAAATTCTTTATACTCTCTTGAAACACAAGCATGGAGATTTTATCATAGATGATCATTTAGACATATATATGCATAAAATGTCTTTTACAACATTATCACCAGAAGCGCACACACATATTGGAAAATAATTGTTCACTGGAGAGAAATAGCCACTAAATTGTACTGTGTACTGATTCCAGAGAATTTTAATTCCAGTCATTAAAATAACAAAAATATTTCTATAAACTATTTAAAATAAAGCCAGCAGAGGCACTGTCTGCCTTTTTTTCTGCATTAGCTTTCCAAGGAGGATATATCCAACTCCACTAAATACTGATTTATAAATCATAAAATTGGTGAAAGACAAAAATACTGAAGGGCTATAATGGAACTGTGGTATTTTCTCCCTAATTTCTCACCTGTAAAGAAAGCACTCATTAATTTTTTATTATTATTATTAAACACCAACAATGTGCCAGGTAATAGAAACGTAAATACAAAGATCCTGTACGGGAGCTGCTCACAATTAGTTAATAGTTTTTATGTCAAAAGACCAGCTACTGAAACAATTTAACACAAGATGTCAAAAAACAAACATTCCATTACAAAGTTATGAGACTAACCGATGAACAGTCAAATTATATCCAGTGAATTATCTGGAATGCAAATACTTTTCATAGAAATATTGAAAATAAGTTGTTCATTTGCGTAAATCAATTTAATCATTCCTTGATATGCATGCAACCCTATACATGAGAAACAGAAAACAGTAGAAGAGTCCAGTTTCCAAGTCTCCTGGCTACCCAAATTCTTCCGGTGAGAGTGATTTAAAAATTCAGCTTTCAGCTCACCCAGCAGAGACTCATTTACAACTGAATGCACTCAAATGCTAACCAGACCGGTTTTGTTTTTTTTTTTTTTTTTTGAATCTGAACCAGGTGTAAAAACTCACACTCAAACATTCACAGAGAAATGGGGTGCTGGAGCCCTAAATTAGAAAGCACTGGTGAATTAAGATTTTCTTTTTAACAATGACGTAAGTTCTTTGATAGTTATATTTTGCTTTCTATGAAACTTCCTCACAAGCCAGAGTTACAATGATATCAGAAGCAAGTAAAAACAGAAAACTTTTCTTTATGGACATGTTCCAGCTCAGGCTGGAGATCACATTACCTTCTAAAGAAAGGCGCGGGAAAGGACAGGGAAGGGTTGCAAAGGTCCTCTTCAGAGCTTTCTCTTGAAAAGGTAAAATCACTGGATGCTTTTCTCAGAGTACAGGAAGCAAGAACTACAGTTTCCTACTTTCTCCTTAGAGTTCTCTCTCACTGCACAGAAGCTAGGAGTAGAAGACTCAAGGTCCATAACAACCTTTAGAGGGCCCTGGCCATTCCAAGGTCTCTAGGAGACACGCCCTAAGGACAGGATGTCCCTCAGCTGCACTCGCAGTGCGTGTGTGTACACAAATGTCGGGTACACACATTTACGAAATAAGCGGCCTTGAGTTCATTCTGATAGAAACTCCACACTTCATCAACCTATCTTCCCTCTCCACAGTGCTGTTTGTTCTCTTCAGCATCAAAATCCTGTACTGATGCCGCCCTCTTCATATACTTGCCTTCTCTCCTCTCCCAGAGGGAAAGATGTAACTAATAATTTGGGTTTTACTGGCTTTACATAAATGCCCAATTCTATTTGCTGATGTTAACTCTGTGTGTGCTGGAGCATGGAAGGAAGAGCAGGTATGGAAAGGGCTGTATCAGATGAAAGAAACCCATCCAGAAAAAATGCTCACAGGAGAAAGCAGGTGTGATCCTTGACCATCATTCCAAAATTCTAGGGTGGGATGTGTAAAAGGGCAAAAAGTGAGGTGACAAAACATAATCTGAAGGCCTTGTGATTTATTTCTCTGTGCTATTTATCCTACCTTGACTTTTCTATTTCTATGAAAAGTCATTCATCTTGTCACTAGACTGGTTATGCTAATATGTAAGACAACAATAAAAAAGTGATTGATGATGATTGCTGTGGACCACAGAGCTAAACTTTAATAAAAGGAGGGCAATAAAGACATCAATAGTGAAGTCAATGGAGTGTAGGTAACTAGAGTGAATCAGTCATAAGGATTTTGGGGAGGGGGATGAAGAGCGGACTATGATACCTAAAGTCAAAATACAGAAAGTAATAAAGTTCTATTCACAATAAGGTCTAGGATGACCACAGGTTTAGATGGCGGGGAAAGATCAATGAAAGTAGAAACAGAAGTGAAAGATCAAGGAATGAAGAAGCGAATTAACTGTGAGTGCCAATTTCACCAAAAAATAGTAAATTTTTAGAAAACAATCTACATGCACACTCTTAAATAAACACAGAATTATTTCTGATATTAATAGATGTACATATCAATAAGGAAAAAGTCTCAAAAGGAAATGATAACGTTGTCTTACTCTTTGAGATGTTTCCGCAGCTGCAGCTGCCATTGCAGCAGCTTTAGCCTTCTCAGCTTCGTCATATGTAGGAAGAGAGGTAGCAACACTATAGGGAGGTGGCACAGGATAAAACTCACTGTAAACTTCTGTATCTGAAGAAAAACAATTAAAAAAGGATAACCATCAAAACAATAATTTACAACAGGCCACTACTATTGTTTATTGTAGTCCTATGCTATAAACTATGTAACGCATAAATCACTGCTATAATGATGTATATTAATTTAGACCTATAATTATTATAAAGAGAAAGGGCAGAAAAATATCATCTACAGGCTAATACACAAAACAATAACATGAAGAATGAGATTCTGAAATCTCATGCTGATAATATGAGCATCCTCTCTGCCTATTGCAATGCTCAAATAATTTACTTATCCATCATCTCACCATCAAAAAAGAAATTATCAGGAGTAATAGAAAACATTTATATAGTAATAATCATTTAATATCCACTTCTCTACACATTGATCCTAGCAATTCCGAGATTAGAAAAGTTAAGTGACCTCAGAATCTCACAATCAGTAAAAAGAAGAACTCAGGGATTTCCTTACTTCATTTACTTTGCACTGATAATGTATACAAGGTTATGTTATCTCCAATATTCCTGGTACCTTCTATACAGGCCAATTTTAGCAACTGCCCTAAGCTCCTAAGCAAACTCAGTATTTCTTTTTGTTAAAAGATTAGTTTCCACTTGTTAATTTTACTTATAAAATTTTACTCTCAAAGTCTGTAGTTTTCAACCAGAGAATTTAAAGTTTGGGGAGCTCCAGTCCTAGCTCCTCCTCTTAGAAGTTGTGTGACTACAAGCAAATCATTAGTCACTATGAAGTTCCACCTTCTAGTTCATAATACTGACCCAAAAAGCTATTACTTGCTATTATGGAGTGAAACAGAAAAGTACTCCAGAAGATTCTTTAAAGGAACTGTGAAACATTACACAAATGTCCCCTATTGCTGATGTTGTCCAGACCTATAAAATCAGACATAAAGTGACCTACTGAAGAACATAATCTCCAGAGAAAACTGGTGTTTTTTAAGCTCTCAGGCTTAAAATATAACAACACTAATTAAGCAGCTCATGAAAAAGAATATCAATTAGTTTCATTAGCGACCTACAGTGCTAAAATTATTGTACATGTTCAGTTATTGTCATTAATAACCTTTTAGCAAAATTGTAAAAAATAAAGACCGTTAATCTCAGAGACAATAAAAATAACTGAACACCCAGGAAGCAGGCTCAGCTTCTTTTTAGCTTGAAATTTATCAAACCTTTAAAAATGACTTGCTACATCATCAAAACTATCCCAGATTATAAAAAATGAGAAGTTTCACAATTCATTTTATGTTGCTTCTATAATATTAATAATAAACCCATAAAGTCAGTACATAAAGGTTCCATTAACAAAGCTGTAAAATTCTAAATACAAATCTAAATCCAGAAGAAATCAGAATATGAAAATAAACAGATGTACCCCGGAATGAAGGGGTAGACTAATAACATAAAGAAGAAATCTACTAATAACATGCCTTATTATATCAAGAGTTAAAGGATTAAAACCATGTAATTTTATGATAAGGGACCAAAGAGATGGCTGCAAGATGGAACCATTTACTGAAATGGTGAAGACGATTGTCAGAAGAGGTGAACTGGTGATAGGGGAACAGCCAGTATGCAGATGTGGTGGTTTTATTTTATTTTTTTTAAAAGATTTATTTATTTATACAAGCACTGGGCACAGTCAGAAGCACGGGAGGGGTGAGAGAATTCACCAGAGACAGAGCGGGGAGCAGAACAGGCAGAATGACGAAACATACTGCTGAGCGGAGCAGTGGGCGTGGCGTGGAGAGGTCTGCGCGCCATGTGGGATCCTCACCAGGGTGCAGGGGATTGAACCGGCGCTGCAGAGGCTGCAGGCAGCTTCACAGCCCAGCGCTCAACCGCTGCGCCACCAGGGGAGGCCGAGATGTGGTAGTTTTGAACTCAAGCCCATTCTACAATATTCTGTTCTTTGAAATTCTTCCCATTAATAGTATTGAATAAGGAATAAACTTAGTGACTCACCTCTAACAAACCAAATATATCAGATAAGACACTGACTTTTGAGGCAATGATATAAAAGGTGATACAGTTTCCATCTAGCTTTTAGAATACTTGTTCTTGGAGGGCCTCCCCAGGTGGCGCAGGCAGTTGAGCGCAGTGCTGTGAAGCTGTCCACAGCCTCTGCAGTGCTGGTTCCATCCCCGTCAGCCTCGGAGCAACCCACATGGCAAGCAGACCTCTCCTGCCTCACCCGCTGCTCCCCTCAGCAGTGTATTTTGTCAGTCTTCCTGTTCTGTTCCCCACTCTGTCTCTGGTGAATTCTCTCACCCTCCCGCGCATCTGGCCTGTACCCTAGTTCTTGTATGTATGGATAAATAATTTTTTTTTTTTTGGGGGGTGGGACCCTCACCGGTGGATGGGGAACAAACCAGCACTGCAGAGGCTGCGGGCAGCCTCACAGCCCAGCGCTCAACCGCCACGCCACCAGGGGAGGCCCATAAATAAATCTTTAAAAAAAAAAATACTCTTCATTTAAGGAAGCCGAAGCCACATATGGGCCATATTAGGGCCAAATAGGCTGACAGCCCAACGGAGGCCCTAAGCTGAGGCTTGCATCAACCACCACACATATGAATAAGGAAATCTTCAAACAAACTCCGGTCCCAGTGACCTTAGACAACAACCACAGGAGAGCCTGGGAGAGATCATAATCAAGCCTAGTTCATTCCTAAAACCATGAGAATTAATAATAATAAATCACCGCTATTTTACTCCATCAAGGTTTCTGTTTTTTGTTTTTTTTTTAATAGAGGCATGTTTTATTTATTTGTTTGTTTGTTTGTTTGTTCGTTTTTGTTTATACATGCACTGGGTACAGTCAGAAGCGCGGGAGGGTGAGAGAATTCACCAGAGCCAGAGCGGGGAGCAGAGCAGGTAGAAGGACCAAAGTACACTGCTGAGGGGAGCAGCGGGCGGCAGGAGAGGTCTGGGCGCCATGCGGGACCCTCCTCAGGTAGGCGGGGAGCAGCCGGGGGATCGAACCGGCGCTGCAGAAGCTGTGGGCAGCTTCGCAACCCAGCGCTCAACCGCTGCGCCACCGGGGAGGCCCTACTCCATTAAGTTTTGAGAGAGTTACACAACAATAGCAATGTAGTAACAACAAACTGCTGTTATTTTGCTCCCAGCATCTTTCATCGTTCAGACACAGACATCAGGAAAACAACTCATTCTCTTTTTTCAAGACTATCAAATTTTTTTTAATCTGAGGTACCAAAATTACTGCACTGTATTTCGAAACTTGTAAAACAATAAATTCACGCACAATAAATTTCAGCACACATAAATCCAGATGTTAAATCTTATAGCCAAAAGTTGAATAACAGAAATCAATATATAAACTGTGCCTCAAACTGGGTACTGTACAAGCATATTGATCAAATAAACTTTCTATACAAATAAAAGCACCACCTATTTACTAATTTAACTATTAAGAACATCTTTATAGAAAAGATAATTTTCAGTAACCACTCTAAAAAGCAAAAAAAACTGGTGGAAGAAATATTGGGTCTTTTTACATATCCCAAGACAAAATTTGGATAAGTAAGCTAAGTAACTAGAGGAAGTTGAGTTCAAGAAAAGTAAGGAACTTTAATTACAGATTAAGGGATAAGGAAAATTAAATATTGCAGTGAAGGATTTTTACACTGAATTGGTTTTCAATAATTGATTTAAAAAATAAATGTTTCAGAATGAGTACATAAAATATTTAGCAGATTTTATATTAACATACAAAATCATATTTAAAATATTAATTTATGGGTCTTCCTGGTGGCACAAGGGGTTGACATGCAGCCTATGGGGCTGTCGCAGCCACTGCAGCACGAGTCTGATTCCCGGCCAGGGAGCTACCCACATGGCACAGCGGACCTCTCCTGGCTCACTCGCTGCTCCCCTCAGCAGTGTATTTTAGCCAGTCCACCTGTTCTGTTCCCCACTCTGTCTTTGGTGAGTCTTCTCACCCCCTGCATCTCTGGCCTGTACCCCAGTTCTTGCATGCATAAATAAATAAATCTTTAAAAAAATTATTTATAATGATTAACTTAGCATTATACTGGAAAAACAGAAATTGTGTTCAGAGAACTATCTAAGGGTAGTTCTTTAGAATGACCTGCAAAGATAAAATGAAAAAGTAGCAAGCAGGAAGCACTGCTTGGTACCCCCAAAATTATTACCATATGAATAGAATAACATTACATATACTCTTCAATTCCTTTCACAGTACTCACATTTCCACTCATCAATAATGCCTGACTTTATTTAGACTATATAAGTAGATATATACACATATCTGTGTGTTACATGTTTTTAAGCATGCATGTGTCTGTGTGTATGCATACCTAATAGATATATGTGTGTGTTTATTTACTTCAAAAGTAATATGCTGGTGCACCAAGAATAGAGTCAGAAAGTTTAAATAGCCACACTTCAATTTTTTTAAAACAATATGAGACAAGTTAATATATAAAATAAATATTTCACTAGCCTTCCTTAGGAAAATATTTTTTTAAAAAAATCACAAAACCAAAGCCCAAGAACAGACATGATAATTACAGAAAACCATACTGGTAAGACAACAAAAAATAAAAACAGTAAGTTAAAACATTACTATCTGTTTCATACTAAAATAGGACAATACCTGAAGTTGTAGGTACTTCCACAGTAATACTACTGTAAGGGGGAGGAGAAGAGTCTGATTCCAGTACTGACGCTGAAGGAGCAGTCTGCACACTCTGAGGTGTTCGGTTTGATGTTGATGGTTGCTCTACAGGAGATGATTCTGAATTATCCTCCTCATTGTGAAGCTAAGAGACCAAAGGAAAAAGGAAACATAAATATGATTCTGATTATTTTTTCAAAATGTAAAGCTAAGGGCCTCCCCTGGTGGCGCAGTGGTTGGGCGCTGGGCTGTGAAGCTGCCCGCAGCCTCAGAAGCGTTGGTTCAATACGGCTGCGAGGGTCCCACATGGCGCACAGACCTCTCCTGCCACCCGCTGCTTCCCTCAGCAGTGTACCTCCTCAGTCTGCCTGTTCTGTTCCCTGTTCTGGCTCTGGTGAATTCTCTCACCCTCCCGCGCTTCTGACTGTACCCAGTGCTTGTATAAATAAATAAATAAATCTTTAAAAAAAAAAAAAAAATATATATATATATATATAAAAAGTAAAGCTAATTTTAAAGATCATTTCAGGCAAAGGATCACTTTTTAGCAAGATGCAAAGTAAAATAGCATTTTAAAGGATGAACATAGTTTTTAAATGACCTAAGAAGCTCAAATTTTTGAGTTTCTTTAAAATAAAAATGAAGCTCAAATTAAGAATTTATAAAGAAAAAAAAATTCATGATTATAAAGATTCAAGTATATTCAGCCCTTCAGTAAATATTGTCTATCACCTCTCAATCACTGTATATCACAAAAAATAGTAAAAAGTTTAACAATATTACACATGGTACTATTGCTACTAGTCTCTGGAATAACTGGAAATAAAAACTGAATTAATGTAATGGGACAACAATATATAAAAACATTCCCCAAAATGAGGAATACTCTAAGGAGGTTTTCTCAAGTACCACAAGAATTATTCACAAAGGAAAGTGAGTCAATGTGTAAATAAAATTTTGGAAAATGTTCCTTATCAGAGCAAATTTATTTTTTTAACTTATAGGAACAATCCTTGTTAAATTAACCATCTCAACAAATTTATTGAATGCTAGCTAATAAGAGTTAAATGATATGTTGAGATTTTTAATGATTTAATTCATTTAATCCTCAGGAAAAAACACCTGTAAATAATTCTAAAGCATCACAGTAACTAGGAAGGGTGAAGCCCAAATGAAACCCAAGCAGTGTGGCTGCAGACCTTATACTTCATGTATAGTAATCTTTTAAACCCAATAACCCAGTCTATAATCTCTACCCACCTTAGCACAGAACTTCCAACTTACTTTAAATGCAATAGGAGTCAATAATAACTACATACAGGCAAACTAATCTGAGGTGAAGAAAAGCAGCACTACTATAAAAAGTGACACATCAACCAAGGTACGGTAACTGGAAGTGAGGTCTTATTAAAATATTTTAAGAATTTGCTTAAAACAACTGGAGTTTTGGTTTGAAGAACTACAAGTTTTCATCATTAATTAATTTTCACATCTTAATTAGTTCTTCCTTTAAGAAAGTAAACGTTGAGAATAATCCCTCACAAAAATTTTGTCATATGTACGTACGTACACATATAAATTGAGATCTTGTGGTATTGTGAAACAAACATGCATTTTGGAGTTGAGAAAGAACAGTATGCAATTCGTGTTCCACTCTTAGGTCTCCTGATAAACTTATCTTCATTGACTGCCGTGCCTCTGTGTCTCCATATGTAAGTTCGGAATAAAGTCAAAATCCTCACAGAGCTGTGAAACAATACTTGGAAAGCATTTAACATACTGCCTAAGACAAAGAAGGCATTTAATAAATACTAGTTTTCCCCTTCTTTCATTTATTATGCTTAATTTCATGGACTCAAAGACAAATTATGTGGTGATATCAATCCAGTAAGTCTTCGCTTGCTTTTAAATTATACATATGCAAAGTAGAACAGGGGATCAATTTACAACATTGCTGTATGCATGTGTCTCGTTAAGTGAGTACGCTAGCAAAGCATTTTTGCAAGTTGATAAAAGCTTATTTTTAACAAAATGGTCACAATAGACCTAAAATAACCTTTCAAGTTAGTAAGATGTTTTCCATAATACCAAGGTTTATATAATAAAGTCCACCCACAGAAACTAAATTCTAAGCTCCAATAACCATAAAGGGAACTTTGTGTGAGCTTCACATTTCCTTGTAGTACCTTTCCAAGCAGGCCCTAAGTGACCACACTCCTGACTAGCAAAACTCTGCCCCCAGTCACAAATAATCTCCCATGTTTCCCATTACCAGGTACTCAGGAAAATTTCTACTTCAATCATTCCTGATCATATTTGTAAGAGCAAAGTGCTGGATGAATTAACGAAGGCAAATAAAAAAGCACAGCTATATCTTTAGCAGTATCAACTAAGCAATTGAGCAATAGCAAGTGTCAAAATGAGGAAAATTACTTCTCCTTTTGGAAAAGAGGGTTTATTAAAATGGAGATATAATGACCTGGACTAAAAAAAATTTCTGTATAACAACATGGTTCTCCTCTAGTTGGTAGCTAACAAGAAATACTGCTTACCATACATATAAAATACATATATGTGTCCCCACACAATGACCAACTCATTCTTTCTTTAAACTCATCATAATTTATTCAAAAAGCTACAACAAAAAAATAACTACAGACAGTTTTACACATATGATCTCAGAAGTAAAGCTCTGGAATGTGTACAACAAATCTTAATTTATTCTAAATGCTCTACCTAACACCTCCAGTTTCATTTCTACAAAATTATTAACATGCACATTTGCTATGTGTCAACAATGAAACCCAATAATTCAGTCTATAATCTCTACCCACTATAGCACAGAACTTCCAACTTACTTTAAATGTAATACTGTAATTTTGATATCCCTGTAAACTCTTTAAGATGAAATGCTACTATAAATTAATTTCTCCTGATTGCCTTTTAAATAAATCCATACAAAGGTTCAAATCAAATTACATGTTTATCCAAATAGATAATGCCAATTGACAAAATTTTTCCTTCATCATGCTGTCCAATAATTTCACATTCTTTAGGGATCACCTTAACAGAAAAAAAAGAGGGAAGTGAGGCAGGATCTATATGCAGAAATGAACCATGCTCTGTGGGCTATCCACACAGCACCTCAAGTTAACCTCCCAGCTGGTCCTACTTATGAGCCTCCTGAGAAAACATACATCAAATGAAAATTAAAATGTCTTCAATATGATGATCAGGGTGATGAAAAGTTGAATACCGAATCACCATTTTTTAGCCTGAAGGAAAAAAGGGTAGTCTTAAACATAGTTGTGGCTAGTCTTTACTGGTGTATATTGAAATCTTTTAATGACAAGAAGCTATAAGCATCATGATGAACTTGTTGGAAGTCCGGCCTTCCAGAGTATAAACTACTGTTTCTTTTAGATTAATTAGCATACCTCCTATACTCTAGCCTTCATTCTACCTGAAGATGACAAAATACTAACATAACAAGCAGAAGCTTTGCTTTTGAGAAGTTGAAAATAATACAAACCTCACAGAACGTTTCCTAATGTGCCAAGGTGAGAATCTACCAATGTACTACAAAGTGTTTGGCCAGCTGGGCCCTCCCTGTACCAGACCTGACGGGCTAAACCAGTTATGTGGCCTTTTCTTATTTTTCTGGCCATTTCTTTTCTGTTTCAATTTGGGCATATGCTAGAACTACAGTAACAGAGCTTTTATAAAGGGGGGAAAAAAACATTTTTAAAGTTGTAAAAAAAAAAAAGATATCTGACAGCTGATATATTCTGGATCGTACCATATGCTGACTATATTTAGTACCAGAGCACAATACTGGGAAGGGAAGTTAGTAGTTAGAAGACACAAATTTTAGCTGAATTGAAAAAACTTTTAATTTAATTATAACTTTAATTATTAGAAAACTAATCTTTCTGTAGGGCAACAAATACTTTCAGGGAGAGTTTAGGTGATTATCTGGCTGTAAGGCTGCTGTTAAATAACCAGGACCACCATACACGGGTATTTCCTAGGACAGACCCACTTTCATATGCCTATTGTTCTAAGGCCCACTCAATTAGCATTTTCTCTACCCCTTTCAGCCTCCAAAAAAAAACCCAAAACACTCTATGCTCAACCTCCAGATATCGATACAATAACAGTACAATACTAGAAAAGATGACCAAGGTCTCTTCACACTCTATGATAACATGACTCTTGATAAAACCCAAGCAGTCTCTATCATTCTATGTTGCTTATTTAACATCTGACTAAAGTAGATTAAGGTTCAGTTGGTAGAGTCAAGCTACTCATTTCAGTTACCAAAGAAGAATGTGAACTGCTCTACCAATAATGGTAGGTATAAATAGCCAACAGGTGCTTAGATAGCTAAGCAGTCTAAACTATTAGCCCAAAAGATAGGTCCCACAAATTACTGCTGCTTGGCAAGTGGATTTAACTTTCTACCAACAAAAGTGAATCATAGCAACCTTCCTCATGAACACATACATACCAATACCCAAACTAACAGGATTTTCACTATTTTAGATTTCCTATCAAAAATTTTTCACTTAACTTTTGCTATCTCTTGATATTTTTCCACTTAATAGAGCTAACTTACAACAAAACAAAATATTAACGATTAAGAAAGAATGCATCAGTAACAAATGAATATTAATTTAAAAAAAAAAACTGTGAATTGGCAAATCAAGCCTAATTTTCAGCTTCTCCTTTGGAATGACACAGGGTTGGTTGTTTTTTATAGTTTACAATATAATAAAAGCAGAAGAATGTATGCACAACTAAGTTGTCTTTTAAACAAAAAGTTCCTGTTTCATTTTAAAACTGGTGTTGTCTGCTCATAATATATCCACTGAAAGATGCAGAAGTGTTATGCATTATATATGGATTCTTAACATTAAGAGAGATAGTATTTGTGTAATACATATGGGCAGTCAAACTTTTGGGACATATACACAAGAAACAGCAAGGAGTTTCAGGTGAGGGGATGACTTCATCTCTCTACTCCTTAAATATTTTACCCTAAATACAAATTAATTGGAATTTTTAACTCTTTATAAATAAAACCAAAATGCAATAAAATTGAAACCTCTAATTCTGGTTTGGCACGTGTCAGAAACAAAAATG